CCCTATCTTACCACTGGTACCACTGGTACCACTCGACATGATTTTGAAGGGTACCCCAACTGCCATGGCCCTTGGTTTACGGATGGTAAACCTACTTTCACGATCCGTAACCATATCTTACCAACCGTACCACTGGTACCACTCGACATGATTTTGAAGGGTACCCCAACTGCCATGGCCCTTGGTTTACCTATGGTAAACTTACTTTCACCATCCGTAACCATATCTTACCACTGGTACCACTCGACATGATTTTGAAGGGTACCCCAACTGCCATGGCCCTTGGTTTACCGATGGTAAACCTACTTTCACGATCCGTAACCATATCTTACCACTGGTACCACTGGTACCACTCGACACGATTTTGAAGGGTACCTCAACTGCCATGGCCCTTGGTTTACGGATGGTAAACGTACTTGCACGATCCGTAACCATATCTTACCACTGGTACCACTGGTACCACTCGACATGATTTTGAAGGGTACCCCAACTGCCATGGCCCTTGGTTTACGGATGGTAAACTTACTTTCACGATCCGTAACCTTATCTTACCAACCGTACCACTGGTACCACTCGACATGATTTTCAAGGGTACCCCAACTGCCATGGCCCTTGGTTTACGGATGGTAAACTTACTTTCACGATCCGTAACCATATCTTACCACTGGTACCACTGGTACCACTCGACATGATTTTGAAGGGTACCCCAACTGCCATGGCCCTTGGTTTACGGATGGTAAACTTACTTTCACGATCCGCAACCCTATCTTACCAACCGTACCACTGGTACGGATGCACTGTACAACAGACACAAATCGACAACAATACCAATGGTAGATGGTAGATTTATGAAATTTACCATTCGTATCGTATCGTGGTATTGGACCATGTTCGGAGCCATCGACAGATCAGATGCTTTTGATATAATCGATCAACCAATCAGATACCTACTAAGCCCGTGACCCTATATTGAGGAATCGTGATTAGTCAATTGCGCATGAGCGTATAATAAATTGGTTATAACACTGTGCCTATAGGCAGAACAGTTTAAAATTAATAGGACTATCCAATATAAAGATTTTTTCTTACAAAACAATTCATTCCTGCATGTCTTTTGTGTGACTTTGGCACGGTTGTTTACAGTATTTTATGTTTCTATTCATGCAGGGGGACAAAATGACCCAAAAATCTTCACCAAGGATGGAAGTGTTCATATTCGTTCAGGAGACAATGGGAATATCGTGTTTGAACATCCCAGTCCTGGGGGGAAAGTTATTGTCGCCGGACAGGAACTGGTAATTTTTAATTGAAAATTGTAGTGTTGAAACCAAGTAAAATGCTATTTTGATTTAAATTGTTATTAAAAGGTATAATCAAATTCTTTATTTTTGCAACGTTTCGGGAAGTTTTACTCCCGTCTTAATTCAGGCTTTTATTAATCTTGTTGTTTTACAATACTACAGTGTACAATGGCCGAAACTTTGCAAAAATAAAGAATTTATACTTATATTAGCTAATAGCATGATATGAGGGAAATTAGTGATTAAATGCCACGATGCCCGAGGGAGGTTTGTGAATAAAAAAGTTCGCCGCCTGGTTAAGGCGTGGTTCACGGCTGAAGCACGGGTATTGACAATTTAAATATCATTTTAGTCAGTTGAAATGGACTTGCCGAAACCGTTTGGAAAGCAGCCTGGGACAAGTTCAGCAAACTATATCTTGGGCGGAAAAATAATTATATCAAATAATTAAAAAATAATTATTCAATAATTATGAATTATCGTGCAGCCGTGTACCAAACTCCGCGGGACTCGTTTAACAACATGGCTGCCTGTATCACATGTAAAGGGAAACAAAATAAGAATGTATATTCAATCTAATGCATTATGGCAGTAAAGAATGGCAGTTTGCAACGCTATTCTTCTCGGATTATAACAGTACCAGTGGCCATCAAGATAATATGCAGCAATTTTCTTCTTGTTTTGTTCTTCACAAGCAATTTTGTTATAAAAACTGATTATTATTATAAAAGAGTTGAAACATTCTTTGAACATACCTACTGAGTATTTTATGTTTTGACTTTTTGCTTTGGCTTCCACAGTTCTGACAATAGTTTTCGTAAAGCACTCATTGGCATGGGATGTGTGTTTTTAAAACGTTTATCACCTTTACCAAAACTTTTCTCCATATGATGATGATGATGATGATGATTTTATTGATCCATCTTTAGTTTAAAAATACAATGGATTTACAAATATGTCTTTTAAAAGAGAAGAGCATAACTAAGCATGCAATAATATTTACAAACTATCTAAAATTTATATATATACAATTTGGAGTAAAAAATTTAAAAGTCTAGGAAATTATTTAAAAAGTTAATAAAACCAAGTTTGGTTTTAGTGCAACCCCTGTCTCATTGCTCGTGGGACAAAACTATTTCTGTGTCGTTCAGTGCCTGAGAAAGGTGCGTATTTAAATATACCGTCTCTACGCCTAAGATTATAGTTATGTTTATTATGTTCCATAGTTCGTTGATAAAAGATATGACTTGGATCACCTAAGATGTTAACGAGTTCCCTCGATGTGGCTTCAATTCTTCTCTCTTCGAGAGTTGGCAGGTAACCATGGGGAGGCCAATAATTCGTAGACTCCTCCTTTGCACACGTTCCAATTCGTCCTTTACATATCGTGGCAGACCACCCCACACTGGAGAACAATATTCAAGGATAGGCCTGATTTTAGTTAAATAAGTGGTGAGACCCACTTCGACTGGTAGATTCGCTCTTCTACATTCTCGTAGGCAGTACAGGTTTTTAGCTGCTTTGCGGGTGGTCTCCTCGACATGTTTGTTCCATTTTAGGTCCTTTTGAAACCAGGTTCCCAAGAGTTTAAAATTATCGACTCTTTCTATGATAGCATCTCCTATATGCAGTGGTAGAGGGGGCGGTGCTTCGGTGAAGTTAATCCACATATCTTTTGTCTTTTTGGCATTCAGTTCCATTTTATTTTCCACAGCCCAACTTTGTACTGAGTCCAGAGCGCTTTGCAAATCGCTAGATTCTCCTAATCTTATGGACGTATCCATGGTGCAATCGTCCGCATATTTGATTGTGTTGACACATGCCTGTTCAGAAACATTTTCCTCCATATCGTTTATGTGTATGTTGAATAGGGTTGGCGAGATAGCAGATCCCTGAGGGACGCCGGCTGGGCATGATGCAGTAAAGGATAGTACACCTTGGAGATTTACCTGTTGTGTTCTTCCCTCCAGAAAACTCATTATCCATAACCAGAAACTCCTTGTTACATTCATATCAGCAAGCTTGTCCAGAAGGATCTTATGGTCGACCAAGTCAAACGCCTTCCGGAAATCAACAAATAGGGGTGGACACCTTGTCTACCGGTTGAGGAGTTGTCCGTTGAGTCGAACCAGTTCTGAGATATGGAGGTAAGGGCAGACACGGTGGAGTGACCGCTCGTAAAGGCGTGCTGGTTTGTTTTGATCTTGAAACTGGATTTATTGAGTTGCAGCTGTAGCTTCTCGATAACTTTTGCTAGTTGTGGTAGCACGAAAACTTGGCGGAAGTCATTATCTAGGTCTGTGGGTGGACGGATCTTTGGTATGGACTAATGATTGCATGCTTGTAGGAGGTGGGATATTTGCATTGAACTATGCTTGCAACCACAATATCGTGGACCACTGGTGCTAATTCTTCTGCGTACCGTTTAAGACACCATGCAGGGATATTATCCGACCCAGTGGCTTTCCTAGGATTTAGGTGTTTTAGGACGGTTTTGACTTGGCCAATGGATGGTAGAGGTGGGTGGCTGTCCTTGAGCAAATGCTCTACCGCTTGAAGTCT